CTAGACATCATCTTTCAAGAAATTATCAAGGAAAACTGCCCTGATATAGTAGAACCAGAGGGCAAAATAGAAATGGAAAGAATCCACAGATCTCCTCCTGAAAGAGATCCCCAAAGGAAAACTCCTAGGAATATTGTAGCCAAATTCCAGAGTTCCCAGGTCAAGGAGAAAATATTACAAGCTGCCAGAAGGAAACAGTTCAAGTACTGTGGAACACAATCAGGATAACACAAGATTTAGCAGCTTCTACATTAAAGGACCGCAGGGCATGGAATATAATATTCGGAGGGCAAAGGAGATAGGATTACAACCAAGAATCACCTACCCAGCAAAACTGAGTATAATCCTTCAGGGGAAAAAATGGTCATTCAGTGAAATAGAGGACTTTCAAGCATTCTTGATGAAAAGACCAGAGCTGAATAGAAAATTTGACTTTCAAATACAGGACTCAAGTGGAACATGAAGAGGTAAACAGGAAAGAGAAATCATAAGAGACTTATTAAGATTGAACTGTTTACATTCCTGCATGGAAAGATGATATTTATAACTCATGAGACCTTTGTCAGTATCAGGGTAGTTGGAGGAAAAAAATTATATGTATGTATATGTAGATAGATAGAGGGCACAGGGTGAGCTGAAGATTAAGGGGTCATATCTGGAGAATAAAATTAAGGGATGAGAGAGGATTATACTCGGAGAAGAAGAAAGGGAGAGGTAGAATGGGGTAAATTATCTCACCAAAAAAAAAAACCAGAAAAGTCTCTTACAGTGGAAGGGGAAACAGGGGAAGGTGAGAGGGAATGAGTGAATCTTATTCTCATAGGATTTGGCTTAAGGAGGGAATAACATACACATTCAGTTGGGTATGGAAATCTGTCTTACCCTACAAGAAAATAGGGGGGAAAGGGGACAAGAGAGCAGGGGGATGATAGACAGGAGAGCAGATTGGGAAAGGGGTTAATCAGAAGTAAATACTTCTGAGGAGAGACAGGGTCAAAAGAAAGAATAGAATAAATGGGAGGGCAGGATAGGATTAAGGGAAATAGAGTTAGTTTTTCACAACATGTCTACTATGGACGTGTTTTGCATAACTGCACATCTACAACTTATATTGAGTTGCTTGCCTTTTCAGTGAGGGTGGGTGGGGAGGGAGGAAGAGAGAAAATTTGACACCTAAAGTTTTAAAAACATGTTTAAAAAAATGTTTTCACATGCTACTGGGAAATAAATATAGGAAATGGGGTACAGAAGTCTATCCTGCCCTACAGGAAAATAGAAGGGGAAGGGGATAAGAGAAGGGGAGGAGAGATAGAAGAGGGACAGAGTAGGGGAAGGGATATTCAGAATGCATGACACCTTGGGGTGGGGGGAGGGGGGAGATGGGGTGAAAATTTGGAACTCAAAAACTTGTGGAAGGGAATGTTGAAAACTAAAAATAAATAAATTTATATTCCTGACTCTGGGCCCAGAGCTCTGTCCACGGTGTCACCTAACTGCCACAAGAAGAAAGTATAGATAAGCAGGAGAGTTCTGAAAATAACAAGTCAAACATGTTTTTAAAAACAAGTGGTATGGAATAGAGATCCATGGTTTCATATATAATCCTTTTGTGTTCTATGTTGTATATTGGCAATATTTTTTATTGGTGTTTAAGTTCAGAATGAAAATATTTTTAAAAAACTCTTTAATTTAACAAAATAAAGGTCCAAATTCTTTTTTTTTTCTTTTAGGCAATTGGGGTTAAGTGACTTGCCCAGGGTCACACAGCTAGTAAGTGTCAAGTGTTTGGTCTGAGGGTGGATTTGAACTCAGGTCCTCCTGACTTCAGGGCCGGTGCTCTATCCACTGCGCCACCTAGCTGCCCGATCCAAATTCTTAATAATAAAAACTAAACTTGATAGTAATAAATGTAAAATCTTACACTTGGATACAAGAAATTGGTTTCTTGATATTTTCACAAGATGAGTATGTCAGGGGCAGCTTGATGGCACAGTGGATAGAGCACCAGCCCTGAGGTCAGGAGGACCTGAGTTCAAATCTGCCCTCAGACCAAATACTTGACACTTACTAGCTGTGTGACCCTGGGCAAGTCACTTAACTCCAATTGCCTAAAAAAATTTTTTTAAAAGAGTATGTCATCATTATCAGCAAATAGGGATAGTTTTATCACCTTTTTACTTATCTTTATTTAATTTCTTTCTTATCTTATTGCTGTTACTAGCATTTCCAGAACTATATCAAATAATAGTGGGGAAAGAGAGCATCCTTACTTCACTCCTGCATTTATTAGAAAAAAGTTCTAATATATCTCCATTGCACATGATGCTTACTTCTGGTTTTAGATAGATGCTTTTTATATTAAAATAAAAAGTCCCCATATGCATATACTTTGTAGGGCTGGGGTTTTTTTGTTTTGTTTTGTTTTTGTTTTTTAGCATAAATATGTGTAGTACTTTGTCAGAAGCCATTTCTGCATCTATTGAGGTAATCATGTACTTTTGGACATTTTGGTTTTTAATGTGATAAATTATGTTGACTGCTTTCTTAATATTGATCCATCCCCAATGTAAATCCCACACTGGGAGTGGGAGGAGTGTCCTTTTGGGGTGGGAGGAGTGTCTCAGACCACGGTGACAGCTAAAGTTGCTTTATCTTTGGCTCATAATTTCTGCTCCGCAGAGGTTTAAGAAGTCATGAAGATCTTGTCAGTTATATGATACAGAAGTTCCCCATCCACAAACTTTATACTCAGCCAAACAGGGCTACTTTTTGCCCCCTGAACAAGTTTTATAAGCTCATGCTTTTGTGCCTTTCCTCACACATGCTTTCAGGTCCAGAATGCCCTTCCTACCCTTTTGCCTATTGAATTTCTACCTACACAGCTCAATAAAGCCTTCCCTGAAGTCCATAAATGACCTTTGTGCTTCAGCCTCAGCACTTTGCATCTCTATAATGAATTATAGTTATTGGTTTATATCTTATCTTGGTACTAGACTGAAGAAAGAGACTGTGACTTCTCTAAGCTTTGTATATCTCCCCCCAGCACCTGCCACAGTGTTCTGTATGAAATAGGCGTTTGATAAATGTTTACTGAATTCAACTCAACAAACATATATTGACTAGAATGGAAAAGAGGAAGGTAGGGCTCATTCCACCTCAAAGAAGTGGAATGTGCAGGAGTTGGGAAGGGTCAAGTTCATTCAGGGAGGTCAAACAAGATAATTTGACTAGAAAGGAAGGTACCAAGTGTAATCTCTTCTCTATATGACAGCCTTCAAATACCGTAAGAGTTCTGTCCTCCCTGGGTCTTCTTTTCTCTAGCCTAAACATACCCAGTTCTTTTAACTATTCCTTATATCTGTGAATTTAAGGCCTTTCACTGTCCTGGTTGCTGTTCTCTCTCTAGCTTATCGATAGCCTTCTTAAATTGTGCCCAGAACGGAACACAACACTCCAGATAAAGTCTAACAAGGGCAGAGTGTGAAGGGATCCTCACTTCCCTATTCCTGGGACCTGTGCCCCTCCTAATGTAGCTCAAGGTTGCATTAGCCTTTTTGTCCACTACATCACCCTGTTGGCTCAGATTGAGTTTTTTCTTTTTCTATTTTTAATTAATTTATTTTGATTATCAACAATCACTTCCATAAGTTTTTGAGTTTTAAATTTTTCTCCCCCTTCCTCCCACCTCCCTCCCCAAGACAGAGCACAATCTGATATAGGCTATACATATACATTCCTATTAAACATATTTTCACATTAGTGATGTTGTAAGAATTAGAACCAATAAGAGGAACCACCAGAAAGAGGAAACAAAACACAACAGAAGAAAAAAATAGCAAATAGTACGCTTCCATCTGCATTCAAACTCCATAGTTCTTTCTCTGGATGTGGATAGCATTTTCCATCATGAGGCCTTTGTAGACGTCTTAGATCCTTGTCTTGCTGAGAAGAGTTAAGTCTATCAATATTAGTCATCACACAACGTGGCTGTTACTGTGTGCAACGTTCTCCTGGTTCTGCTCACTTCCCTCAGCACAAGGGATCCTTTTCAATACAGCCTTCTCCCCATCTGTGCCTCCCCTAACTTACATTTGTCAAATTTTTTTTAACCCCAGTGAAGGATTTTATATTTATCCCTATTGAATTTTATCTTATTAGGGTCACCCAGTGCTCTTGCCTGTAAAGATCCTTTTGTGTCCTGAGTTTCTTACTCACTCTGTTACCATCTTGGTGTCATATACACATCTACACACAATCCAAGCCTTTTATCCAAAGCCTCTGATTAAAAATGCTAAGCAGCACAGAGCCAAGCACAGAACCGCTGGGTACTCACCTGGAAACCTGCCACATTGACAGTGGATTATAAACTACTCCAACCAGATGATTGACTGTGTGACACTGAGCAAGTCACTTTACTTCTCTATCTCACAGGTTTCTCATCTATAATAGGAGGGGTTGACTACATGAGCTTCCCAAGTCTAATGTTACATGGTCCAAGATTACTTCCAGCTCAGATCTGCGACATTTTATATTCAGTGCTTGCACTTGGCCCTGGAATTGTAGGCATTGTGTTCTGAGGTCCCTTGCAGTTCTGTTTTCTATATTCTAAGTCCTAAAGTCACTTCCATCTCTGACATTACAGGGTCTTTGTTCTTGAGTCCCTTTTAGCCCTAACATTCTATGGTCAGCAAAAATAATGGGAGAGATCCCTATGCAAAAGGAGGGAGACAGTCAATAATGAAACACTACCAAAGATTTCACTTTGGTATAGGGAGCCAGCATGGGTACAAATAGTGCACCATAAGATAATCTAGGGATAAAGCAGAATGTCCTCTGGATATCAACTAAACCCTCAGAACTTGTCTCTGCAGCTCTGTAACATCACCTGACCATTGGGTACTCAATATTCATTATAAACATTGCCATGGAAAACATATTCTTACCCTGGAAATGAGACCGTCCCTCTTTCTCAACTGATTTTTATCTTTTAATTTTTTTAGGAACAAGAAGCATCATCCAAGTATCTATCGGCAATCAGAGTCAACTCTTCATTTCATTCGATCCCAGGAGCTAGTCCTGTGGAATTGAACGCTATATTGAAAGAGAGAAGACCTTGCAAGAACCACTTTCATCATCAGAAGAACAACATTCTGCTCAGAACACATAAGAGAGAAAGCTAATTTTGACAATAATGTTTTTAGATTTAAATCAAGTTTAGAAAAAAGGGTGGAGTTGTCAGTGGTCACTGAACAGTTTGAGCTTTGTTTTCAGGAATGCACACATCGGAAGCTAGTCTTTGCACAACTGTTTAAGCCCGCATCCATAACTAAGCTTAGCATGTCATTTCAACAAGGAAAAGAATCTGATTACCTTATCACACAAATATACCCATTTTGACTGTTCCATTTGGAATAGATCAGAGAAATTGCTATGATTTGATTCCCAGCATGAAAATAAAGCTTTAATGCTGACTTTCAAAATCAATGATCCAAACCAAATGTTAGTTTCTATGTCAAAGGAAGTTGGCATTTTTGTATAAGATCCCGGAAAACAGCTTTTCTTGGGAAGTTCTGTGTTTTTTAACTATTGCAGGGTGCTACACATTTAGTAGCTTTGATGTATAATTCAGATATAAAACTTTAAATTTCTATTTGTGGCACAATATCTAAAAAAGAAAAGGAGATTTTAAAACTTGCTTATTAACTTCAACCACAACAAATATTAACTGCTAACTACGTGCAAAGCACTATGCTTGGTGCTAAAGGGGATATAAAGATCAATACAACCTAGTCCCTGTCCTCACCAAAGCTTTCATTGAAGGAACTGGCTGTAGCACTTACAGATAATGAATACAAAATGATATTGGATAAATACAAGATTGGTTCAAACCCAGTATATACAGTAGCAGGAGTGTGGCAAGGTAAAAAGTATTTTTCCTTACTGAGAAATCAGGAAGGACTTTATGGAAGGAGATGGCATTTGAATTGGATCTTGTAGGATGGATAGAATTCCCACAGGCAGAGAAATGGAAGTAAGGGTGAGTTAGGAAAGGGAGACATTCCAGGTATGGGGAACAGTAAACAAAAGAATCGTGTGGGGTCTACATGTATGAGAAAGTTAATAGTCCCATTTGACTGAACATAGTGTGTAGAAGGAGTATGAATGAGCAGGAAGGAGCTTTTGAAGAGTTTTGAGATCATGACTCTTGCAGACCATCTTTCATTTATTCATTCCAAAAACTGCTTGACAAACTGCTAAGTCCATAGTATTATGACAGATGATTTGGGGTATCTCTGCTCCAATGCTTTATTCTGGTGGGGGCAGTGACCCTAGGTTCTTGAAGGCTGTGCCAGCATTGTGTAAGCTCTGTCAGATTTCATAATTTTAGAAAGGCTTTGAGTATGGTGCTAGCATTAGACCAAACCCCCTCCTCCCCCCAAGGACTAAACTACCTTACAGCAGAGAGAAAGGTTATTGGATGGGTGGCCACTTGGTAATGAATTTTTTTTGTGACGTCAATCAATACAACAAAGAAAAATAGGGTGTACCCTTAATCCTGAGCACCCCACTTCCACTTCTTCAGGGTTAGTGGCATAATCACAGAAGAAGGAGCAGGAGTGCTAAGAATCACACAGTATTTAGATCCTTGGTAAATTTGAATTTTATTATTGATATACTAAATTCAAGCTCCTTGTCCAAGACATTTGGACATTTTGAGTTGGACAATGTGCAAGCAGACATTTTGCTGGAGGAGCTGAATCATAGTACTCTTAACATTCTTGCTATAAGTGGAATAAGGAGAAAGAAATTATAGATAATTGGAAGGATGGCTTACAAGTACATTTTAAAGAGGCAAAGAAAGGAGTTGTTGGAGTAAGTTTTATTGAATATACATCTAAAAGCAACAAGAAATGTCATTTCATGGGATATTTGGCCATCACATATTACACTACTAATGATAGATATTTGCAAAAAGACCACCATGAAAATAATTGCATCATATGTACTAATATTGGTTATTGAAGATGCAGTGATAGACAAATTCTATGAAGAACTCAAAAAACTCCAAATTAAATCTCGCACCCCAATTCTTGGTCACTTCAATGAAGGTGGTAAAAGATGAGGATGGGGAGAAATGTATGGGAAAGCATGGTTCAGGGAAGAAGGAATGAGAAGCCTTATAGATTAGACAGAAGCCTTGAATCTGTATATTATGAACACTTTCTTCAAGGAAAGACTTGGCAGCTAAGTGGCACAGTGGATAGAGCACCGACCCTGGAGTCAGGAGGACCCGAGTTCAAATTTGGACTCAGACACATAATGACTTCCTACCTATGTGACTCTGGGCAAGTCACTTAACCCCAATTGCCTCACACAAAAAAAGAAAAAGGTAATGAAACAAGACAATGCCAAAGGACCTATGATGAAAAATGCCATCCACCTCCAAAGAGAGAGCTGATAAACTCTGGATGCAGATTGAAGCATACTTTAAAAAAAATTTTCTTTGTCTTGTTTTTGTTTTCTAGTCTATGTTTTCTTTTGTAACATGGCTTATGTGGAAATAACATTTCACATTACTTTATAAGTATAATCAATATCTAATTGCTTGTCTTCTCAAGGAGGGGGGAGGCATGGCCAGGAGGGAGAGAATTTAGAACTCAACATGTTAAAAAATGATTGTTAAAGTTTTTTTACGGTCGTCAGGAAATATTTAATGAAATAAAATATATTTTTAAAATAATTGGTAGATGTTAGTCATAGTGAGCTCCAAATAATGCCATAAAGAATGAAACAAATTATATGTTAGATAAGAAAAGTCTTGTTATTCATGTGGGAATTATCTCTGAGTTAGCTGTCTGTGTACAATGAAACCATAAACTTGTGGAGGAAAAAGAAGAGGAGGAGGGAAAATGTGTAACAAAAATGACATTAACACCTACTATAAAAATTTTATCCAGAAGTTTAAACAATGTGAATGAATTTCCACAGCCAGGAAATCAAAAGAGCCCAGAAAGATCCTTATTCAACAAACATTTGATTTACTTGTCAAGAAGAGAGAGAGGGTTGTCAAAGGCAACACTAGGTTAGAATATAAGGCTGTTTATACTTATGAAAAAAGATGATAGATAGTTATAAGCAGTGTCATCTTATAAAGCAGAGGGAAGCATTTGGATCACTACCCTTTAGGGATTGTCCATCATCAGTAGAGTTATTTGGGAAAAATAGCATAAGTGCACAAATTAGACCCAGAATTGAATGGGAGGGGAGCAGGCTGTATTGCTTTCAGAAACTTATGAAATTCCTTTACTGACCCCAAACTTCCCATGAAAACAAAAAGACATTTTTTTTTTTAGTGAGGCAATTGGGGTTAAGTGACTTGCCCAGAGTCACACAGCTAGGAAGTATTATGTGTCTGAGCGGATCTGAACTCAGGTCCTCCTGACTCCAGGGCCAGTGCTGTATACGTTGCGCCACCTAGCTGCCCCTAAAAAGACATTTTTTTAATACTAGCTTTCTCTTGGTGTTGCTACTTAGCAGCAAGACATGGAATACAGTAACTGCCTCTGAAGAATTAAAGATGAGTATCCCACAGCAGGCAATGGAGAGGTGTGTAGTGAGTGTGGGCAAGCTACAACATACCACCAAGAAAACTTCCTGTGATTCCCATAGCCAGCTATAGTCTTATCCTCATTTACACTCCTGTAGCCCTTTGCCTATGCCTCTCCTAGAGTACTTAACATATTTAATCTTGTATCATATTTATTTGTACATATCTTCTCCTCTGCACTAAACTGTAAAGTTCAGGAGGGCAGGGACCATATCCATCTCATTCATCTTTCGATCCCTCATTTCACCTAAAAGAGTTCCTTGGACACAATAAGTGGTCAACACTTGGGTTGAATGGGATTTGCAATTTGTCATTACCACCTTCAGGAAGGAGGTGGAAATTGAGTAAGTTTTTGAAAGAAGTGGGATAGGTAGAGAGGAGGGCATTCCAAGTCACAGGAATGGTGAAAGCAATGGTAAAATGAGATGAGCATGGTGTATACCAGGGACAGTGATTAAACCAGTTTGGCTGGAGTGGAAGGTTATGCTGGGAAAAAGCAGGATGTAAGTTTGTAAAACTCAGCTGAGGATAAATTATGGAAGGTTTAGAAAAAACTAGGCTAAGGGGTTTAAATCTTATATGGTGGTGGGGAGTCATGGAAAGTTCTTCATTAGTGAAATGACATAATAAAAATGGTGTTTCAGTAAAATTGATCTTGCAACAGCATGCAGGGTGGATTAAAGGAGAGACTAAAGATAGAGAGCCCAGTTTAATAGAACTATTTAAAAATTCAGATGAGAGGTATTTAAAAGGGCTAGAATTTATAGGGCTTGAGACTAATTAGATATGACAGACAAGAAGAAGGCACACAGGTGGTGGAACTTTATAAAAGATCTGAGGTTTTTTCCAACTCTTAAGTTTTGTGATTCTATGTCCCCCAAAGTTTTGGATCAGGTCACTTAGAGAACTGATATTAATCATAGCCAATATCTATATAGTACTTCACTCATTTACAAAGATCTTTCACAAGCATTTCATTTGGTCCCTACAACAATATCATTTCCATATGAGATAAGAAGAAACTAAGGTTCTTCAGATGATATCATTTGCCCCAAGTCTTACAGCTAGTAAGTGGCATATGACACAGGACCGGGATCTAGGTTTTCCGACTAATCACACTGACCAAAATCAGGAATTTAAGGAGAGCCATTGGGGGGAGGGGGGGAACATGATGATTAATTCTGTTTTATATTTAACTTGAGGCTTCAGGAAAGCAAATGAAAAGGTCTAGTCGGCAGTTAAAGATGCACAGTATGAGAGAAGACTGGAGCTAGAAGAGTGGTCAAGGCCAAAGATACAAATTTGGGAATCATCTGCATAGGAGTTAGAACTGAAGGCATGAGGGTGGGAATATTTTCCCTGTTGCATTATGTTTTGCCTAATTTTATATGAATATTTTTCATAAAGATTTAAGCATTTAAGTGAATATTTTACTGTTTGTGGCAGTCTTAAAACTTACTGGTTTCTTGCTTCATCACATCAGGTGGTTTGCTTCCTTTCTTATTCATTCATTTAGCCAGCAGATATTTAGTGAGCTCTTATGATGTACAAGGCATTTTAAAATGAACATTTTCCTCCCAAATGTTAGGTGTTCCAGATTTCCAATTATTATTGTTTAACACTACAATAACAACTGGTCCATAGTTAAAAAATTAGGTTAGATTATCTCTAAAATCTCTTCCAGCTTAAAACTATCTGTGCTATCTTAACCAATCAGTCAGTCATTAAGCATTTATTAAGAGCTATGAGCCAGGCACTGCGCTATCCTTTGGGAATACAGATGCAAAGAGCAAGACAAGCCCTTTCCTCGAGATGCTCACATGCTTTAATGAGAGATGAGGTCATATATAAATGTACAGAATAAATACGAAGAAGATAAATACACTGGGGATACAAAGAAAGGCAAGGCTCTTAAGGAACTTACCCCCCAATGAGAGAGACAACAAGCAAACAACCATGTGCAAACAAACAAGATGGAGATGAGGTAAACTGGCATTAAGGGGAATTGGGAACAGCTTCTTGCTGCAATGGGGCTGTAAGTGAAACTTGAAGGAAAAGGGGGAAGCCAGGAGGTGGAGTTGAGGAGGGAGAGCATTCCAGCATGGAGGACAGCCAATGAAAATGCCTGTAGTCAAGAGATAGAGTGCTGTGTGTGAAGAACAGCAAGAAATCTGGCTTCACCAGATTGCAAAATATACAGGTGGTGAGAGAAGGAGGTGGGATATGAGAACACTGGACAGTTAGGAAGGAACGAGAGACCAGAGACCAGAAACAAAGGATGTTATATTTGATCCTGGAGGTGATAAGGAGCTATTGAAATTTCTTAAAATGGAAGGTGGCATAGTTCTACTTGCACTTTAGAACATTCAATTTGACAACTGTATGGAAACTGGATTGGGAGGGAGGAGACACTTGAAGCAGGGACACCAGCCAGTAGACTATGGCAGCAGTCCAGGTGTGAGGTAATGCTGGCCTGCACCTGGGTGGTAGCAGCCAGTCAATAAATACTTATTAAGTGCCTACTGTGTGCCAGGCATTGTGCTATAATGGGGTTGTTGTTTGTCCTTCAGGTAAACAAGCTAGAGATATGGAAATAATGAACAGAGGGAAGTCACGATCATTAGGGAGAATCAGGAGAGACTTCCTATAGAAGGTAGGATTTTAGCTGGGACTTGAAGGAGGAAGTCAGGGAAGTCAGGAGGTGGAGACGAGGAGGAGAGCATTCTGCTCATGGGAGACAACCAGTGAAAATAAATTGTGAGATGGACAATCTTGTATGAGGAAGAGCAAGGAGGCCAGTGTCACTGGACTGAAGAGTACATGGGAGAGATATAAGGTATAAGAAGGAGGAGAGGGGAAGCTTATGAAGGGTTTTGAATGACAAATAGATAATTTGATATTTGATATTGGTAGTGATTCGGGGCCACTGGAGTTTTTGGAGAGGTAACATGATCAGACCTGTGCTTTAGAATGGTTACTTTGGTATCTGGTATTTGGAGAGTGACCAATCATCAAATTATTGTAGTGTTCCAGGTTTGAGGTGATAAGAGGCAGTGGTGATGTCAGAGGTCAGAAGGCAAAATAGACAATCCTTGACAACAGATTGGATAAGGGAATGAGAGATAGTATGGCATTAACGATGACATCTAAACTGAGAGCCTGCAGGACTGGGAGGATGGTGGTGCCCTTGGTGGTAATGGAGGAGGATTTGGAGGAAAAGATAATGAGTTCAGTTTTGGACATGTTGAGTTTAAAATGTCCACGGGACATCCAATTTGAAATGTTCAGTAGGCAGTTGGAGATCTAAGACTGGAGGTCAGCAGACAGGTTAGGGCTGAATAAATGGATTTTAGAATCATCAACACAGAGATGATAATTAAATCCATGGTAGCTGATGAGATCACCAAGTGAAATAGCATAGAGAGAGAAGGGAAAAGGAACTAAGACAGAGCCCTATGGACATTCATAGTTAGTGAGTATAACATGGATAAAAATCCAGCAAAGGAGACTAAGAAGAGCGGGCAGATAGGTAGGAGGAGAACCAGGAAAGAGCAGTGTCTCAGAAGCCTAAAGTGTCAAGGAGAAGAGGTTGATCAGCAGTGTCAGAGGCTGCAGAGAGATCAAGAAGGATGAGGCATGAGAAGAGTATTACATTTGGAGATATTTGAGTTGTGAATTGAAGGAAGACAC